CTAATAAATTGATTAGCCTCTACATAAAACAAATACAAGCTTAATAATGTTACGACAGCGGAAGTCACGTGACGCTGGTAACACATCATGAGTTTCTAGAATGATCATGACTTTTTCTGGCAACTCTAGTCTTTCCAGGCGCCCTCTATTTTTGTACATAAGCCCGGCAAATAAAGCGGAGAGATAATTGCAGAGATACAGAGACAAATAATTGAGTCAAGCGAGCGGTAGTGACCGTAAGTAAAGTGCGTGAATCGTTGTGAGTTATAGCGGGTGTTGAAGTTAAAGTGACTGTGGAAATTCTGTGTATTGCAAAATTGTATTGAGAAAGAATAAACTAGTTTTATTTAAGAAAGGATTTGTATCGCTGAAGTTCCTCGGGAAGAATTTATAACGGAAATTAACAAACGACCAGAGACGTAACAATAAATTAAGGTCTAGATATAGTATGTTTTTTTGGCAAAATTATGAGTATAGAGTCATCATCACTTTGAAGAAAGAAGTCTGTAATAAATGCCACTTTTGAAAAACTAGGCCTAAAATTAGTTTTATTAAAAAAAATGGATCTAGAATCAGAAGCAACTGTTTCGAAAGACTAGCTCTAGAAAAAAATTGCCCAGAAACATTTCCACTTCAGAAAGATAAAAATGCACAATTAGCTCTAGAATTAGTACCCCTTTGAATAAATGAAGTCTAGGCTAATTTCTCCTTGAAAAAAATTGTGTCTATATGCATTGCCACTTAAAAAAATATTAGAACTAGGTGAGTGTAAACTTCGAAATAAAATCTACAAGTAGCGTTACTTTGGAAAACGTAGGCCTAGAATTAGTGTCAAAGATTGAAAAACAATTAGGCCTGGAATAAGTATTATACTGAAAACTCATTTTTATATGGGTTTAAACTTGGTCCCAGATTATCATATACCAGTGTCACATGGGGGGGGGGGGAGAGAAGCTTCAAAGTGAAATAAGAAAATTAGTTTAAACTCGTAGGCCACAATGATATTTTGCACTTGTTCTGAAATAATTGTTTATTGTAGAACCATGATACAAGATCTGAGACAGTTTAATAACGAAATATGAATTTTTTTTTAATTTTATAAAAAAGTGCGTTAATTTCCAACATAAATGTGTCATTTAAATGAAACGTTTTGGATAAACATAGATTGCCACAATATGTTGCTTCTGGTAAACGATGTGAAACATCACACTAAATTTTTATTGAGAAGTATAATCAAGAGCCAAGAAAGAAAAAAAAAACATACCAGCAAAGCAAGTTTTCTCTATTAATACAATTATGAATAGGTGTCTATGCTGAGATTTTGTTTTCTGTTTAGGAGAAGCATGTTTGATTGGAAAGACTGTCTCAAAAGATGAAAGAAAATCATGTACAACAATCCAAGATCTTTAAGACTTTTGATTCATTTCCATCACTAAATCGAACGTGACACATTTGGCACTTTCATATTTTCTTCTTTCTTCGTATTGAAATATAAACATCTTTCCAAAGAACGTCAAAAATACATTATGTTGTAACAATGCTTTTGACATGTAATAAATGACATCTTTTCAGTTGAAAAGCGAAAAAAAGAGCCTTCGGTTCCATATCTTTCAGGAGAGTGGGCATTAATTCAATCAGTATCGATGCTGACTACGTACTAAACAATAATACATCACTAATAAAGGCTAGACATCATTATCACGTGTACATACACGTACTCTCAGGCTTTTTGACGATTCTGTTTTGAAAGGATTAGTCAACCAAGTTTATGGGCCTACTTAATCAACTTTATTTATTTATACAAACCTTGAGTTTACATAATTACTGGCCTGTCTTGGGTAGCTGTCAAAACGTCTCTTCCACCTGTAATGTGTTGCCAAACTTGGTTGAACACAATAGTGAAAACACTTAAAACATTTATATTAAAATAGATTCAATAACATTCGGAGTATTACAGATAAACTGACTGTTTTTTAATTTACGCTGCACAAAAATATTAATAAAAATAAACATTTCAAATAATAAACTGACCTCTTCTGAAGTCACTTAGTTCTCAAGTAAGCAGTTACATCAAACAGTCTTTACTAGTACCAACGCCATGATAGGTAAAAGTTAAAATTATGTTATTCTCAGTTTCACTTTTTTTCCGTTGTAGGGCTTTTTCTCTTCGTTGGGTTCGATTTGAACTCTTTACAAATGAATGTATTTATTATCAAGATACTTTTTTATATGCAGTCGTGGGTAAAGCTCACGAGACACCAACTCGAGGAAATTTATGTAAAGAAGAAAAAACAAAAGCTCGGGGCCAGGCAACACATAACATATATTAAATTGAACAAATTCGACAATTTACATTCACATTGCTCTCTCCGACATCGGAATGTCTCGTGAACAATTCTTCTATTATACTTATTAACATCTCCGCGATATTCAGTAAATCATTAAGTAGCTTAACTCTTACGAGACCCTCTGTCATAATATACTGTATAATAGGTGCGTTACTAGAGGAGACGAAGTAGAGAAGGCATTTAGGCTTACAAGAAGTTTGATTGGAGAAAGTTCTCCACAGACGCTGTGGCTGGCATCTTCTCAGATGATCCACTGAAGAGTGGAGGAACTATTTTATTTTTCTTTTCTTCTTGTCTTGTTCTTACCTTTTAAACCATGGCTTTTTTATTTACTTAATAGGGTATTGGCATCCTTCTAGGCGGAACTATAACCTTAACCATAGCATGTGTTTCTTGGCTTTTGATTGGTTGTTAACGTTGTTCTAAAAGAAACCAAAACCGTAACTACTG